GAATCGTGTACGATTATTTACACGCAATGAAACTGATCGTGTACGATATCAAAGCTGAATCGTGTACGATTATTTACACACAACGAAACTGATCGTGTACGATCAGATGAAACGTGTTGGATATGAGATCGTGTACGATGTCATGAGATCGTATACGATATCCCAGATAGACACATTGATCCTCTTTTTGCATCTTCTTCAGCACTAATTTGTTCTTTTCTCTTCTCTAAGCTTTGTACTGACCGCATTACATCTTTCGAATATTATTATTATTATTGTTATTAGAGCGAATTCGTATATCACACTTTAGCATGCTAATGAGGTCTGCTAATATTCAAATACAAAAACRATAATTAAAAAAGACACGAATTGGAAAGACTACACAACTTTATGACGTTATAGGGAAGTTAGAGCATTTTATATCTATTATTTTATTAACAAAACATGAAAGTTTCAATTCATTCAAATAAGTCATTCTACATTTTTTCGACGTATTTCTACAGTTTTTACTTGAAAAGTCTCTCTGTTTAGGGTTTTGTTCCGTTCTGATCACTGATGTTTTTGTCTACTTTCAGAAAAAGCTGATTGACATTCTCCATCGTGCTCATAGCTTTTTCGCACACCTTTGCATGTGCGAGGTTAGCTTCTTTCGCTTTGTCTACTTTCCTCTTCTTCTGAGCAGAAGCGGTATCTCAGATATGGAGACACCCACGTTGGCTGCAGCCTATCTGTGTTGAATTTACGACATTTTTGGCTGAAAGACGCATACGGTTGTTCCAAAGACTGCACTGAGAACTGCCCATATCCTCTGCACGGTAAAAGTGAAACAAAAGTCTTGATGATAGTGAAAGGAAACTTGAATCATTGCAGCAAACTTTGTTCTACTCAACAAGCATGTAGTTTAAAACGGGTTGACTTTAATTTGCTTAGTAAATGTTTGAAGGACAAACAACGCCTGTTATGTTTCTATTGTACTGAGCTGAAATTAGGCACATAAATTGTGTTCATTTGAAAATATCTAAAGAGATTATTTAACAAATCGATAATTAAAACACTTATTTTGTTAGCATATACATTTATATGATATTTGGGGTTTGGAATGGTTACGTTTTGTGGGAGTATTTGCAAGGATATATTTGGTTCGTTAACAGCTCATTTGAATATTAGCAAAATTCATTAGCATGTAAAAGTGCGATATACGAATTCGCTCTATTATCATCATCATCATCATTATTATTATGGCAAGTTTTATTTTTCTGTATATATCATGTTTACATTGACCAGCGGACTAAGTCTAAGCTGGTTACATTCATCATTTTTTACAATCCTTTCTTCAGCTTATGCATATTCATAGAACTTCTTGACTATTTAACGTTCTGGCTTAAAATCCATTTCTGGCATCGTTCTATAAGGCCCCGTCCACGCGTATCCGGGAATTTTTGTATCGCGGAAAATGTTTGCGTCCACACGCAGCGTATTCGAATCGTTTTCACCGTCCACACGTGTCCGTTTTCGTAAAATTTGCGGATACGGACACAATAACTTGCGGACACGTGTGGACGCAACCCATATCCGCAAAAAAATATTGGCGGATACAAAAATTTCCGGATACGTGTGGACGGGGCCTAATAAAGTTCACTTTCCTATTTGTAATTGTTCTTAGGTCTTGTCCTGCGAGAAAGTCAATTATTATCTGATTTACACTTGAGCTTTCGCACTTTTTTTTGATGCCTGCACGTAGTTCCGTGTATTTTTCTTGTTTTTCAACA